GTCATTAAATATCACTGCTTATCAAACCCATTTTCAGTTTTTTCCTGTTAAGCATCTTCTGTTGGTCAAAATTTCTATCCATCAGACAAAATCTGCTGACTCCAGCAGTGACACAGACTCCAGTCAGCAGAGGATCTGACAGACCTGCATTTGTTTACAGAAGCTGCAGATCTAGTCTTCTCTACCTATGTTAACCCAGCAAAAGGAATCATTTTTGCCATCACCTCGAGCAAAGGAGTTGTCCAAACTGTAATGCAGAATGAGAATTCAAGCCACTTCATGCTGCTTTTCTTTTAAAAATCCTGCTTAACCTTTTAAATCTATGTTATTCTCTCTTTCTACAGTTTTTTTGCTGTTAAACTACAGCTAAAATTTTAAAACAATCTTTACATCTGTACTTTGACTACATATAATTGATGTACAAAGCAATTACAAACAGATACAGGTTCAAAGCAGGAGTATTTTGTTTATGAAAGACACACACAGGCAGAAACCATTTTTATAGCTTTTGAAAGAACTAGAGAGATATTTGTAAGCCAGCTAAAAAAGAGGCAGACGGACCATTAGTTTTAAGTTTTGAGGGAACCTGGATAGATGAGTGGTAAAAATACCCACAAAGAATTATTTTCTGCATTTGTGCAAGACAAGTTCCAGGACACGTGTCCTGACTTGGTTTTCCCTGTATCTTTTAAAACCCCTTGAATGGGCTCTGGGTTAGAACAACACATTCAGTACTACAGATGCAGTTGCCTTACAGTGCAAAAGCACTCTGGAATTAAAAATGCACTATTGATACCTGCTTTCACCAAAAATACTCTGTTACAGGAAGTCACCTCCCCTGTTCTGAGAAAAGAAATCCAAAAGAAACTCCTTCTAGCCTCACTTCTGCTCTGGGTTATAGCTCAACTGTGTGCACAACAGTAAGACATAAAGCAAGACAACAATCCTATTTTTAAACATAATTCATCAGGTACTTTATCAACATACCATCTTTCACAGAGGTAGGCTTTTGTGTGATTACTCCCACTTACAGCTATTACTCCCATTCCTACTAATTAAAGTGTGAGTAAATCCCACAGGCTAGGCAACAACATGGGATTTTTGGCCCAATTTCAAGTGGAATATTTAATATGTAACTTTAGAGAACTGATGCTGTGAGTCCCTCAGTATAAAGGATCAACTCTATCAATGATGAGGGCACTTCATGGGAGCTAATAGTTAGTGCTTAAACATCAGTTCTGCTGCTTCCAAATTAGCCTTTTAACACTCTAGGTTTAACTAATTAATCTGGTTTACATACCAAATCAAAATCTAAGAAAAGCTACTTAGTTATGTCAATGATGGAAGATACGCACAGTTCTAAATCTAAGTCACTAAACAAGTATGGATGGCTCTTCAATTTACAAGGACTAAGAAATGCCAGTGAATTTGAGCTACTTTTGTTCAGTCCCTTTGAAAATATGCCTATATTTTTATCAATCTCAAAATGCATTTAGCTGCCTAAACATAGATCTCACTGGGTGTTCAAAACCTGCAAGAAAGAAAAAAAAATCCAACCTGCTTCAAAGTTCTTGATTATTTCAGTTTGAAGGACACCCACGCACATTTACTGGGATTTGAAAGGGCATTTGGGAAGCTAATTTCACGTCACTGCAGAGCAAATATTTCTACTGGCTGAGATGTTGCAGCTGACACTGACAGGCTCTGGGTTTACAGACAGATCAGACCTATGTGCATAGATATTGACTGGTGTAAAGAGGAGACAGAGGATGTTGTAAAGAAAGAAGTATAAATTAAAGAAGGCCCTATTTCAACTTCTTCCTACATGTTTATAAGAGCAGAAGACAGCTGAGTTATGCTGAGTGGCGTTGCTAAGCAGCACTAAACATGATTATGCTCCACGTGCACTCCTTTGCCAGTCAAAAGGACAAAAAAGGAATAACTTCACAAAACCAACTTTAGCTAACACACTTCAGTTTCCATTTGCAACTCCTCAGATGGATTATGGATGGAAGATCAGGAGCACAGAGTCACCAAGGCTTAAGGCCCTAACGGCACTCATCAGCTGCACCACACTCCTGCTCTGTTAGAGCTGACATATCCAGGCTTAAGCATGTCACAATTAAACCATTACCTTAAATGACACAGCTGGTTGAAACATGTGGGCATGCCCACATGTGCTTAGTGGAGCAGCTCAGTTGGACAGCAGAAAACATATCCAGGTATATTAGTGACCACTTGCCCTTGGCTCATCGCAGTCCAGAGGTCTCTGAAAAACTGGGACCACCTTGTAATGTATCTGTGTGCCTGCTCCACTCAAGCTCTAGCATGGCTCTCACCCGACATTTGTCAGAAGGATAAATTCAAAGGTGATTAGTACCCGCATTGTAAATTATGCATGAGTGAGGAGGTGAGAGTCCAAAGGTGCTGTAGCAGTTGCAGGCATACCAAGGATGGCTCAAGCTGGTTTGAAAAACAGCAGTTCCAACTCACTAATAAAGAGCTCAGCATTATTGCCTAAATATTTGAAGCTTCTCTTTTGGAGAAATTTATAAATTTGTTCTCACTACTTATTTTTAAGCCTGACTCTATACTTGCTTTCCTTGTGCAAACAGAACTTATACTAAAACACAAAAGAAAATGTTCATCTAGTAGAGAAAGTCTGACATCTATTTATGCCACTCTTTTTAGGGATAGGGCTAAGAGCTTTACCTTTGACCAGAGAAAAGCAGAAGAAATAATTATGTACTTAGCTTTTTGGAAATTTTTCAGCAATATTCCTTTATGCAGTAAAATACCGAGGTTTTCCTTTGAGGCCAGGAATGTTGCCTTCTGTGCCAGGTTAATCCTTCATACTGGGTGCCACATTCCCAAGGCAGAGAGTTGACTACTGATTTTCTATTTGGCTGCATGCACTAGAGATTCACTTTCATTTAGTGTAATCTCCTGCTTTGTGATATGTCTGGAATTTTCACCACCTGCAACTGGGGCAGATTTTCATGCTTTATTTTGCCAATAGCTTGTCTCCCATTTAAAACAGAGAAGGAGCTGCTGATGGGTTTAGCATAATTTTCACCTAAATATCTGAGACTCTTCCAACCCAGTAATTCAAAAATTATCAGTATGTAAAGCAAAAAAGGGAGAAAATGCTTTTTAATACCTAAGTGATAATTGTATTCTTTTGAAAGTCTGGTCCAAATTACTGGAAGTGATCCCAAAAATACCTGTCTACATGTCCTCTAGAGTACATGGAGACAAATTTGTGAATAACGGACTAAAATGCATTGGAAGGAGGTGAGAATTCACCTACCTTTAGCCTTAAGGAAACAAAAAAAGAATTTATAGTATTTGGAAAAGCTAGCAGTAAAATTACCTTACTGAAAAAATTCAAAATACAAAAAATAAATTATACTTTCTGTGTATTATTACTTTTGTCTCATTTCCAATTTTTAATTATGAATCTTCTGATAGTATCACTTTATGCTATTCCTGTCTCTCAAGATCATAAAAATGCAAATACAAATCAGATTTGGTAATAATGAGAAATTGACTTCCACCTAAACATGAGCTGTAATTTATGGTCACAACATGGGAGAACACTTGTCTAAGAAAAGTGCTGCAGTGACACAGTAGTCTGGATTCTTTTGGTTTTTGTTTTGGTTTGTTTTTAAACAATGCAAATTATTGTTATTTGCCTTCATAGCCCCAAACATTTAAATACGCAATGATTTTTAAATAAAACTGCATCATGAAAGGTGGACATAGATCCTATTGCCTCTGGAGTAGCCTCAATCAAGCTACTACATATTCTTCTTCCTTGCTCATAAATATTCATGCCAAGGAAAGGGCTCAATCAATTAGAGTCCTTAAAATCAAAATTATCCATGATACGGCCTGAGAGGGATGAATCTGAGAACTCTGCATCAAAGCAGCAGTATCAAGGATGTTGAATTTCAGATGTATTTTCCACAGTTTTTTACTAGTCATCTTATGTATATATTAAACCTTGTGGGCTTCTAACATACTTGGGAAGTGAGAAACAAGTCTCACTGCTTACAAATTTGAACAAAACCTTTGCTGAGAGTTGCATTTCCAAGGCTTTTCCTATCTTTTGCCAAATATTTGCCCCATAGACTGTGAAACTTACAGCATTTAACATGTGTTTTATTCTGAAAATGGCTTGGCAGTAAATTATATATGTTTGTATCTAAATAAAAAAGAAAAAATAAGAAAAGCTAAGGACCAGTGTTTATAGGCTTATTCCTGCAAAAACTTCAGGATGTCCCTCATGTATGTTAAACACATGAGTAAGCATCCCCCAGATCAAAGGCTGCAATTTTAACAAGCTGGGGTCTCTACACCACTCATAACAATTTTAACTTCTACACAGTACTAGCTGCCTCCACACAATTCTTACTGAAGGTTGCGTTAATGATGAATACTTATCCACCGGTTTATCCTATAGTCATATCAAAGAGTCTAGGTAGATATGAGAATCTCAGAGATGTTTCTCCTCACGTGTGACCCAGTAAAAGGATGCTGTCAGGCAGATTTATTCCCTTAGTTTAGGGTTACTGAAAGAATATTTGAGCTTAATACTTAATTGGAACATTTCCATCAATTTTCTAAGGGAAATATCAATAATTTTGGTATCCTTCTTGGATGCAAATACTATTGCCCTGCAGTGCCTGTAACGTGACACGGTGTAGTTACACCAGGTTATAAGATCAGAGCATGAAATGAAGCAGAAACCAAAAAAAAATTTCCAAATTCTCATTGCCCTAACTCCACTTTAACTTACTCGACTGCTATCACTTTTAGCACTGCTAAAAACAGACAGAATTTCAATGTGACAGCATCCTTCTAAGTCAGTCAGGCTCACACGTGCAAAAGCCTAGCCCTGCATTGTCAGGATGTGTGTGAACACATGAAAGACGTGGCTAGGTGTATACAAGCTTTCTCTACAAGTGACTAGAAGCCCCAGCAGCAGAGATACTCACGTTGGCACTGTCCCCAGGCCACTCGGGCCCAGCCCCAGCAGCAGTCAATTCTGCTTCCAAACCGACACAGTCCTGCAGATGAGACGATTTGTCTGGGCCACCTGTACGAGACAGTTCAACAAAGTCTGGAAAAACTTTTTGAAAGTAGCTAAAAATCATCCTAGAGTAAAAACAAAACCCTACCAACCAACCAACCAATGCCAAAAGACAAAGAACAGCAAAAAAACTCTCCTGCACAGAGTTGGGGGTTTTTTAAAATTTTTTGAAGAGAGTAACTGCTCTCAGCTAAGACTAGGATATTTCTATCATTAATACTTTGTTTAGTTCAAAAAATGCAAATGACAATAGGTGAAGAGGGGAAAAGATATTTAGGATAAATGAGCAAAGCCTGAAAAAGCCGACATGCCTCGCAGTACGCTCACTGCTGCCACTCCCAGGCTGGCATTGAAGAGAAGTTCAGAAGTCTGAAACAGAATTTATAGTGCGGAATAAACGCCATCATAAAGTTTAGGCATTCTTTCAGTTCACAGTATATGGCAAAATTTTCTCAATGATACGATCAACGTTTCTCACTGAAACATTAAAGGAAAAAAAGAATGAAAACAAAAGCTTTTTGGACTGTTAAACAGAAATTAAATATAAAAAGAGACCTGTTGTCTTCTCTTGTTCCAAGGGAAAGACACCACGGCCTTACGCAGTTATAAACTATTGACACGAATCAGCAATGTCTTTTAACGACACGCTGAAATCCCGTGAGCGCAGCATTTGAGCAAATCCTCATTAAAAAAAAAAAAAAAAAACAAAAACAACAAAAAAAAAAAAAAAAAAAAAAAAAAAAAAAAAAAAAAAAAAAAAAAACGGAAACCCTGGGGTGGGCAGGGGTCGCGCTGGCCGCTTGCCCCGCACGGCGCAGTGCCCGGCCCCTGCAGCGCTGCCAGTCGCCACACCTGACAGGACACGACACGGCGCGACACGGCCGGCGGGGGCACAGGAGCCCCGAGATTCGTGTCAGGACTTGAGTCGCGATCGCTGCCGCCGTCTGTTCGGAGCGCCTCCGGGCGTCAACAAACTAATTTTATCTCTACAGCACGCGATGCGCTTTGTTTTTAATTCTTGCGGGACGCAGCCCCGCCAGAGCAAAGAACTTATCTCACACCTCAGCCCGTGCTGAGGCTGTCGAGCCAGGCGCGGCACTGGGAGGGGGACGGCTGTGGGGGGGTCCGTGCCGGGGAGCTTCGGGAGCAGATCCGGGAGCGGCCCCGCGCCTCCACCTGCGGCACCCGCCCGGCACCGCTGCCCGCATCGGGAGCGCCACACGGGTCCCGCCGAGGGCTCCGGCCGCCCCCGCCTCGCCGGGAGTCAGCCCCGGTGCCTGGCAGGAGGCCGGCGGCCAGCACAGCGCCCCGAGTCAAAAAGGGGAGAGCCCGGGCTCCCTCCGCTCTCCCTGAGGGAACGCCGACTTCGCCCTGCCCGGCCGGTCCCGGCCGCCGCCCCCGCTCTCCCCGCGCCTACCTTCTGTCAAATTCCCTGGCCGCCCCCAGCGAGAGGCAGGACGCTAGAAGCAGCCACAGGGAGAGCTCCATGGCCGGCGGGGGCTCCGCTGGCCGCCGAGGCGGCCCCGGGAGGGCGGAGGTGGCCGAGGCGCTCCCGCTGCCGGGCGGGCGGACGAGGGTCCGGCTGCCGCCCAGGCCGGCCGCGCTGCCACGGCTCCGGGGCGGCGGCGAGCTCGGCGCCCTCCCTTTCCCTCTCCTGCCTCTCCCGGTCCCTGCCCGCCCGCCCGGCTGCCAGGCGGAGGAGGCGCGGCGCGGGGAGCGGCCGCGCCGCCCGATCCCGGCAGAGGCGCCCGCGGCCCGCCCAAGGCCGCCCCCCCTGCCAGGGGCACCTGGCGTGCGTGGGACACCTGGGGCGGGAGAGAGCGGCAGCGAGGCGCAGCTGCTGCGGACAGCGAGGCACACACCGCTCTGCGGGCACTGGGAAGGGTGGGCTTCCTTGTCAGGAGCTTTTGTATCTTGAACTTCCTGAAGGAAGATGGTTACGCCCTCCTCTCTTCAAAGCTCCCGTCTAAAGCCAAGAGCGGTAAGATTTGGCCTTCTTTTATCAAACCTCTCCAACAACAAAGACTTACAAGGTGTATATGTTTTTTTCTGTCTCAAACGCTCCTGTTAATAGCTCTCAGGTGTTGGCATGTGTGACATCAGGCGTCCCAGCCCTTGTTCAGGAGAAAAAGTGACAAGTTTAAACACTAACCACACAGCACGTACTTGCACCACTACTGACAGCAGTGACTGCGTCTGTACTCACCACTAACATGTTAAAATACAGCCCTTATTTTTGTTTGGTTTCTATGAACTACGGCTTTGGGACTTACCAAAGGACACTTCTAATAGCAGCCTGTCACCAGTTTAGGGTCAGAGCTGTTCTGAGATCTCTCTGATTACAGACAGACGGGGTCAACCACTTGGACTGGGTTGCAACAACGCATTTGTTTGATTTGTGCCTACATCAAGGCTAAAGCTCATCAGCTGTTCCTACAAGGGTCTGGCTGTAGCTTAGAAGCGGAAAACAAGGATTTTCTCTGGTTTGTGCTGTAACACAGAACCAAACCCTTCAGGAAGCAGTTGGATGCCAACCACAACTTAAAGCTTCAGAATTCAGCTAGTAGGTTCTGTGCAGAGCATTTTCCACCCTCAAAACACTTCACAGATAATTGAAATAATACTGCACAAAGATGGCATTTTTTTTGCACAAGATACAAATTGTGCCAGTAAGCCTTCAAAAATTACACATTTCCTCAGAATGGTTTTACCACTGTCTGCCCATATTTGAGCAGAAGACCCCCTCCAATGCTCCTTCCCCTCTTCTTTTCTTTTCATGACCATACAATCCCCATGATAAGATTTCTGTCCACAGCATCAGCCCAGAACTTTTCAGACAAGGAGGAAAAACAGCTGTAGAAGCTACAAGGGGATGATTCTGCAAGGTGCTTGTACCTGTGTTAACATGCCAGCCCCCTCAGAGGACTCAAATATAAAACCTACACTGAGGACCAAACCTGGTTCCCTCCATTCACATGAGAAGCTGATAGCCAAGCAGTGAACACAATGACATGGTGCTGTTTGGGAAAGACAGAAAAGCATCTGGTTTGTATTAGATCCCTGCTGAAATATAGAGCTAATTGCCAGATCTTCTTGACTGATTGATAATTGGATTTTTTTTCACTTGGATGTGTGATGTGGTAAACAGACCATGCATAGTGAAATATCTGTCAAGATTTAATGGGCAACACGGGAGATAACCTATTTGTGATAACCACAAGGATTTCTTTCTGGTAACAGCATCTGCATGCACCTTTCCAACTTATAGAAAAAACGTGTCCACAAATTACACTGCAGCTAAGTCCAGGACAAGTGCCAAAACCAACATTTGAACATCAGTCTGAATTAAGGTCTAGGGCAACCTGACACTTTCTTATGTCCAAAGAGACGTGTCATAAAATCAATTCCTTTAATGCAATGCTGCATAATGGTATTTAATGTACACAGCAACTTTAAAGCACGCACTATTCCTTTAAAGCATGCTCACTCACAAATGGTAGTAAGATCATTTAATCTCTCCAGACTGCACTGAGTATTTAAGACTTCCTCAGCAGCCTGTTGGGCTCTCTTGTATGTTAATACTAGTGTGCTGGTCAGACATGGTGCCTACTCTAATTAAGATTGTCTGCTCTTGGTTAACTTCTGCTGTCTTTACAATTTGTTTTGGAACATCAGCCCAAAAAAACAGTTAACCAGTCACTAAAAGATCACATATTACATTTACATACCCATCAGTGAAACTGAACATCCACTCACTTATGAATTAATTTGTTTTGGCAATGTTTTATCATCACTAGTGGAGTTTTCTTAACAAGGCAGTTTTCATATCCTCGACAGTAGAAGGATGACTGAGTGAGCTGTCAAAGAACCAGATCTCTTAATGAGTTAAAGGTATATTAAGTTGTGTGGGTATGCATCAAAGTACTAAAGAGAAGATGGAGATGGAGAAGTTGTTGGCAGTATGACAATAAAAGCACTTTTGTGCCTTATGTTTAGTGAAGAAGTATGAAAGTCTGGCAAAATGCTGATGCCATCGGATGGGCTGACCTGATGTGCAGCAAGACTTAACTAACAATAGAAGCCCAGCATCTGTGCATCAAGCACTCAGATGATTGACTAGAACAAGTGTCCAAGAAAGTTTCTTTACAGCTACTGGTAAAACACTTGGTTAAGCATAACGTGATGGGTTTTTAGCTGTAAATTAGCAACAATGAAGCAGAAACACAGAGGAAGACAGTATTTTGAAAATCAATGCTGCTATCCTTGTGCATAAAAAAGTCAAAACTCAAAGGAAGGTGAATTTTGCCTGAAAATGTGTTCATTTTATGCAAGCGTAATGATTCTGGTTTTTTTTTTACTCTTCTTCATTCTTCCATAATTATCTTTAAGTGTATTGTGCCAAAAAAGCCACATTATCAGTCATGATCTTTATCTCAGACTTCTAGTCTCACGGTTATACTGAGCTCAGATTTAGACCGTTCTATGCAAATCAAGACCCTCAACTTGATAAGATACACGGTTTCAAGAGCAGAGGAAGAGTAAAAAATACTTGTAGCTGACCATGCCATTAGCAAGCCTATTAGGTTCTGAATTGTCTGTAATTTCCCAGGGAAGGAAGTCGCAGTTATATATTCTATTCCTGTGTTCTGCAGCGTAAGTGGTGAAGGCACATCTGACTGCACACAAATCTGAATCCTGGTGATAAGGCGGCAGAGTGAAGAAATGCTTTGAGAGAGGGGCTTGCAAATTCTGCTGCAAGGGAGGCTAAAGGTGGTGAGGGCAACTGCTGCTTCTGCTGCTTCTGAGATGGCAAGTGTGACAGAGTGACATGTGACACACTACAGTTTAACTACACACGCAGGAATGTTGTTAATGCACTGCTCAGGACAGTAGTGATGTTTCAAAAATCCACAACAGTACAGTGCAGAGCATATCAGCAGTGTATACTCCATTAAAGAATCAAGAATGACTGTCATGAGCCATACAAGTAACTGGTAATACAAGGAACATCAACTAAAAACACATGTAAACAACAGGAAACTCAGTTCTAAGGAAGACAAGCTTATTTACAGTCTTGTCTGGTGAAATGAACTTTCCTTGTGTGTGGGACCTGCTCCTCTCTAACAGCACTACTTACTTTTACTTCACCTGGGGTAGGTTGTGCCCAGCAGTCTCGGTGTTCCAACCTTTTGCTACAGGATGAACTCAGGTTTTTATATGCTCTTTGTTGCTATAACTATTCCTGAGGGGGAAAACCAACAGAACAGAAACAGTTTCTGGAATACTCTTGGGCATCGTCTAGACAGGCAATATTTTTTTTTTTTAAAAGAGCTATAAAGATACAAGTGGCAGATATTTTAGGCTGACAGATATTGGTAAATACGATAGATGATAGAATATGGTAGATACGACAGAAATCACACAGGAAGAACTTTAAAATTTATCTTAATTTTTACACATACCTATGAATTGGACAAAAACACACCAATAGAAGATATTACTATCAGGCTATTCTACTGCCAACTAACTTTTCTTTGAGGAAGGTATTAAATAAGTTCTTTTGAGTCCACTTTCCTAATACTGACTTCCTCCTTGTCTTAAAGCACATTATGACTATTAATAAATCGAATCCTCTATTCAGCAGGATCAGTCAATAACACTCCCATTTACATAAGCAGAAATTAAGGAACAGAAAATTACTTTTCCACAAATCAAATAATCTGTCATCAAACCAGGAAGAGATCTCCTGTTTTCCAATTTCATACTTAAACCACAAATCCATCCTTCCTGTTTTCTAGGTATTTCACCCTCGTTGAGGCTGAGAAAGTTGACCACAGAGCCCACACTATCCCAAGTCATTAAATCACACCATGACTTGAGTAAAAACCACTCGATTTGCAGTTAATGGCAAGCAGGATCACAGTCTGTATTTGCACTGCTATTGTAACATGTATGCCTCTTACAAAATGGAACAGAAAGAAAGAATCTAAGCCCAAATTTTCTATGAGACTTTTAATGTTACTACTTTTCCTCTAGGGTATGCAATTCTGTAGCATATTTAAAAGCAAAATTTATTAAGTAAATACTATCTCCATCACATGGCAGGAAAAAATGTCTATGACTTCCATGCTAATAAAACTATAAGGTATCAAGGAAATATAGAAATTCAATCAGTGAAATCACTCTTGTACTCCAGCTCTCCCTTAATAAACGTTCTTGAAGGGGTAAGAAAGTCATCCAACCTGTCAGACACTGTAGCATCCAATTACCTTCTATACAGATAAAACCTATGCTTTGGATACTAGTTCAAAAGTTCCCATATGCTTTTTCTGCATGTCTTCCAAATCAATTTGTATTTGTTTTTCCCAGTATGTTTTTTCCACACATACTTGATCCTTCTTTTAAAATTATGAGTAGTATTTCTGTTAAAGTTTACTGCATTTCATTACAGTGCAAAGAAGTTATCTTCCCTTGTGAATAAACAATAA